AATCTATTTTTTGATCGAACTCTTTTCTCCTACAAAGTAATATAAGAGAGATTTGGATTACTTATTTATTTTGTCACGGTACATCCAATCTTTGTATATGCCAAAATTAAGGAGTTATTAAGGGTCTCTTAGTTGATTAATACTAATAATTAAACACGTGTGCATGCATTTAATTAATAATTAACCATATAATCATAAGTCACAAAGTATGATTAACTAAAAATGTCAATTTCAACACTAGGGGCCTCTATCTTAGCTTCCTTTATTAAACTTTATTATATCACTTTATTAGGAGTTTCAATGGACAAATAATAAAACTATTGTTATAATTTGAAAGTTTTGCTTTTATCTTGGACCCTTGGAGGTGGCATTTATTCAACACTAAAAAAGAAAACAATTTTCCAACTTGTCTCTATCATAATTCATTATAATATGTTTGAACACAAATATCAAAGAGTCAAATTCAATCTTGAGGACCTTTATTTTATTTTATATTTTGAAACCCCATCTTATTAGGTCTCTACCAATATTTTCTCATCTATATTTGATGGCAATGTCTTATGATTTCAAATTGTACAAAAAAAAAATTACAAAAATTTGTACTATAAGGTTTATAGAGTCTATATGCATATGATGGTGTACTAATAACAATGACGTGCACTAGAAATTTTTAAAAATATTTTAGTAAAGTCTATAATTTGCCTAAATTCATGGAATGCAAAAATATCCTATTCCCCCCTTTTTAGTATGGGCCACAAAGAAATGGATAAGTTAGCTCAATTTTTCCAATTTTCACTAATCTTAAATTTGTCTATAGTTTAGTATGAATTAATTCCGTCTTTACATACAATTTTCAGTGTATTCTCATAAAATAAAAGGTACTCAGAATTATTATATAATTACTTGAAGATAAATATAATAATCGAATCGAAAGAATTAAAAAATCAAATGCCTGCCTCAGCTCAAAAAAGTGTAGAGACAAAGTGCATATGTAAGCAAATAATGTTATATTGAAGTGTAGCACAAAGCCACTCAAACCTTCACTTATTCTTTCTTTTACTACTACAACTACATGACCACTATACGGCTATGTATATTATGAGAGCTAATTGGACTATATTGTATAATTTTATTTATTTTTGTCTATAGATCAATAGAGATCTCTCTATGTGTGTATATATATATATATATATAGTCAACTAGGAAATTAACATGGCTACTTTTTCCATATTGTTCTTCTCCATTCTCAAGTACTATCTGCCCAAGTTGATCAATTTTGTACACCAATTATATGATGGCCTATGCCTTCACATGTATCCACAATCATGTTACACCATGCATTTATATTGTAGGGTTATTTTGAGGTCCATTTTAGTGACACACACCCCAGCCTCCCTTCTACCAATAGGTGTAGTGTAGAATTTTGATAGGATATCGTATTTGAACATCGCTATTTAATATATATTTATATTCTTAAAAAACCGGTTTATTCTGTTCACTTTGAGATAATTGTGATATGCAGTGTCTGAAGTTCCATATGGTTGAAGTTCAGCATATACATGTGATTGAAGTTTAATGTCAATCATATGTAACTTCAGATACGGTATCTGAAGTTATTTCGAAATGAATAAATTTGTATCACGCATTGTAAATATGGCGCATACTCAAATGGTGGACCCAAAATCGGGAATCTTTGCACTACTGTCTATACGAGTGGTAAACGGTTAATCTAGACTAGATTTAGACGGATTAAAATAGATTGAATCAATCAGTGAATCATTGTCTAAATTTATCTAATATTTATTTGGGCTAAAACGAATTGGAGTAAGATGAGCTAAATAATTGATCATAACATAATCCTTCCAACTCTTACCAATTTTTGATTTCTTTGTTCATTTTCTTATAATTTACTTAATTACCAAAAAACTAATAGTAAACTTTTTTTTTTTTACCAGGGTTACATATTTAGTTCAAATCAACCCAAATTTTGAATGAGTCTTAATTGAGTGGGTCAATGTGAGTACATTGAGTTAATAAAGCCTACTTTTTTTTATAATAACTATTGATTAAGTAACTTGTTATCTGAGAAATCAACTCCGTAAACGTCATGAAATTAAATAGGTGCTGAGCAATCGATTGCAATCCGCACTTGGTTACTACTTGTTCATTATCAACATCATATATAACTGGCACTTCCCCACTAATTATATATCTTTTTCATAATGTCAACATTGATATTTAGAATAACTATTCAAGATGTAAATTATTACTATATTTGTGTATACCATACAAGTAATAATGAATTTTGAATTTTAGTTCAGCTGCACTATTTTCATGTATAAATATACGTCTATACGTACCGCACTTTCTGTGTCACACAATTCTTCTCTTTATAATTTCCATTTTTATTTAAAATCGTTTTCTTAGATATGGTGCGATAATATATAATATAATTAATCATTAATTGTAATAGAATTGAATTTCCTCAAAAAGATCAAATATATACGTCTAGTCTGAATATTTATTTATTCATTTTTAGCGATATTTGTGCTACTATATTCACCAACAAGCAATATATGAGCAAATAGCATACCAAAATCAAATATTGTCTGAAAATCCAATATATTGAATATGTTGACTTAATTAATTAATAATATATAATTTAAACGAAATATGCGGCCATTGCTGCTTAAATAACAATATATAGTTAATCGTCTATTTGGATTCCAAAGTAAACTGCCAAAAAGAAAATGTGACTTTGAAAAAAAGGAAATTATAGTAAAACAAAATAACAGAAAATATATTTAGCATATAATTAATAAAATTTAAAAATGAAATGTGGCAAGAAAGTATAATTTATGTGAGTTATAATTTTGTTTTATTTTTGTGAAAGTTTTCTAGCTCTCCATACAGAATGATATTCTACCAAGGCAGTTTAAGCTAGGCCCAAAGACACTTAACTAGCCCAATTTTTTAGTCTATAACTGTAAATTTTAGTCACTGCTAAGTTTGGCTATTTTGTTAAATTTTGGGCCCAACCGTAAAGACTAACTAGCATCTCAATTGGTAAAGCTTAGATTATTACTTTGCTATGATGTTTAACGTTTTGGCTTTCTACTGTTACTTTGATTTGCTTCATTTGAATCGAAGTTTTTTTTTGAAAACAATACACGCACTTTATCCTTTCCCACATCACTTTGTGGAGTTTCACTATGTACACTCCTAATTAATCCAACACGTGTAAACTAAAAAGAAAAACACTATGGGATCATAATTTTTTTTTAATATTGTGATTTTGCTCTGTCAACATATCTATGATTTCAGTTTAGGGTGATCGTACGGTGACAAAGACAAATCAACTTTTGTACTGAATGGAAAATCAGCGGTCCTTACTTTACGGTGTGCGGCAACAGTTAGCCAAATACCAAAACCTCTTGCCGTACAAAACAAGCAAATCCACCCTCTTTTTAACCTAACAATAATAAAATTATTGTTACAAGTTCAAAATACAGGTGAATCTCTTTACTTTTGGCTTTACAAGTTTCTTATACGTACATTTTTGGAATAAGGGTATGAAATATATTTCAACTTTGGTCGGATTGCTGTTGCGATACTAAACTTTCATGAGAACTTATTACCTCCCTAGATTATTTAATACCATATTTTAAACACATATATTTGCCCACGTGAACATTAAAAATAATGCAAAATTATAAATAGTAATGTGCCCACGTGAGCACATATAAACCTTTAAAATACACTATTAAATAGTTCAGTGGGTAAAAAATACGGCATTAAATAGTCTAGGGAGGTAATAGGTCTTCATGAAAGTTTAGTATCGCAACAACAAATTCAATTAAAATTGAGATATTTTTCATACTCTTATCCCTTTTTATTGCAACAGTAATTCAATCTAGTATGAAAAAAATGTGTTTCATTGCTTCTAAACCAAAATTCGGACTAATAGGGAAGCGCTTGCTGAGCCGCCAAGTACGGGCGGCCATGCCCAAGGGCACCCACTCATAATCATTTCTTAATTTTTTTGTGAGCATGCCCAAATTTACATACTTTCTTCGTTAAAAAAAAAAAAGAATGATTTAATTTTTTTGAAAAATAGATTGTTCTTTTTAAAACGGAAAAAAGTATTAAAAAAATGTATTAGTAATTTTAACTTTCACATAAATTGGACTCGAACCACTTCTCTAAATTTAGTTTTTTTTTTTCTCTAAATTTAGAATAGAGGAAATACGTATTATATACATTAAAGTCGAATTAAATATTTGCCGGCACTTACATATATTGTTTGTAAAGATCCAATACAGTTTTCCTTTTGAGTTAGATAAGCACAGTAAAGAAGTACAAGCATTGATTTATATTTTGTCACTTATATGATGCCCTCTTCAAGTCCAAAAAATGTCTAATTACTTACCTAAAACACTGCACATAACAAACGTGTTTTCTTTTTTAAAAAAATATTAATAGCGTCATGAAATATTTATTAAAAAATATATTCCTTTTTTAGACGTGTTAATAAGGAAAATGTATTAAAATAAAATTATGTAAAGTTCCAGAAGCTGGTAGAATCATCTATCCAGGATTCTTCTAGAAGGCCCACGGGTTCGTTTTCTTCTCACTCGTTAATGACTATTCAGTCCTTCATTTTTAAGTCCAAAAAAGAAAGTCAAGTCCTCTACTTCCTTTTCGGAATTATTCATACGCGCATCTAAGGGTATTACCGTCTTTTCACAACACATTCAGAAATTTCGCCTTCTTTTCCAATTACAACTAGTTCTCCTTTTGTGACCAGAAACAGGACGTGTGCACCGGGCTTATCCCGTGTCCTTTATTACCAATTATACCCTTAACATTACCTTCATCTGACCACGTCTCGAGGGTAAAACTGTCATTAAAACACACCCTGACCGTCATGAAACTCTCTATATATACATTCACCTCTTACATTGCGTTTTTCATAGTCTACTTTTTTTTTTTTTCCAATACGATTGTGGCTGTTCAATTTTTTCAATCAGAAGAAAATTATGGGATCTGAAGGCAACAAATTTAATGATGGAACAAGCTTCTCGCCGGCGGATCAGATTCTCTGTTCAAACGGTTGCGGATTTTTCGGTGCGGCGGCGACGAATGGACTTTGTTCAAAGTGTCACCGAGACTTTAAGATGAAGGAAGATCATGCTGCGATGGCTAAAGTAGCGATGGATAAACTTGTTATATCTAGACCTCAAGTTGAATCGATCGGGAAAGTTGATTTCTGTTCGTCGGCGACAGTGGCGGCTGCGGAGAAGCCGGTTGTTGAGACGGCGGTGGCGGTGGAGATCGCCGGGAGTCAGCCGAATCGGTGTTTGAGCTGTAGGAAGAAGGTGGGAGTTGTGGGATTTAAGTGCAGATGTGGTAGTACCTTTTGTGGGACCCATAGATACCCGGAGAAACATGATTGTACCTTTGATTTTAAAACTAAGGGGAAAAAAGAGATTTGTAAGGCGAATCCTGTAGTTAAGGCTGATAAAATCCAGCGGTTTTGAGCTGCTAAACCAAAATTAAGTTCGGGTTTGGAAGTTAATTTTTTTTTTTTAGATGATTGAAGGTGGTTATGGGGAGAACAGGATGGATGTGTATGAAAAGTAGAATATAGTTTTTATTTAAGTATATATTTTGCTTCCAATTGCTCAATCATTTCATAATGTCAAACTCTAATTTTAAAATGGACATGCTGCGTAGAGTTTTTTTAATAGAGTGCATCGAATATTGAATCGAACCACCACTTGGAATAAAGTGGTTGAATGCTAGGTGAATCTTCGACAGGGTTACTTGATATTTGTTTAGTCATATCTATTGAGTTGATCATATCAAAGAATGTGGCATGCATCCTGGCTCCCGAGACCCTTTCATAGAATTCCAACCATTTCTCCCGCTCCTCAAAAGCCCACAGGAACGGAGGATGCTCTATTGAATATCAAATTTCGCGTCTAAGGTTCGGATTATAGTTGATTTTCGAGTTGACATTAGGTCAGGATTAATTGGATATTGGTTCCCTTGAGGTATAGGCTCGAGACTCAAGTGGAAGTCAAGGTTTTGGGTTTATATCTAGAAGTCAATCATGTGTGTCATTAATTCATATTTCTTCCTTTTTCCTAAAAAAAAGGATTTGAAGTTCATAGAGAGAACTTTAAGATTTCATGTGAGGTATCAATAAACCCTATCTCAAGAAAAATAATTTTGGGATAAGTTTTTAGTATCCTTTATAGAAGTTGATAGACAAAAATTTTAGATTTCATGTGAGGTTTCAATAAATACTATCCCAGAAAAATAATTTCGGAATAGGTTTTTAGTATTTTTCAATTCTTTGTTTGGTTATAAATGTGGGATAATTTATCTCAGAACTACTAATTATGACTTGGATAAATTACCCCTACTTAGCTTGTGGATGAAATACTAATCATAGGATAACTTATGCTGAGATAAAATATAAAATGACGAAAGTACTCCCTTAAATCCTCTTTTTATAAACAAACAATTTATTGTTAAAGGATATTTTTATAAACAAACATTTTATTCTTAGAAATTATGTCAGATATATTATTCGAATATGACAAATCAATAAATAATAAATCCATCATAACTTATCTAAACATAACTTATTTATCATAACTGATCTTAACATAACTTGTCTTCAAACTAAATGAACCTCAAAGTCCTAAAATTTAGCGTTAGAAATTATAAATTTTGCTTGAAGTTTGCAAGACATAGGTCATAAAATCTCTTAGATAGTTGTAATTGGGGAATGGGCTGCTGGACCATACAGTAGTATAAACTGGTGTTGGGCTTTGCTTCTAATGAAACAATTATTCGTTATAAAATATATTTTACACAAATCTCATTGTTAAGAGTTAATTATATTATATTTTTACTTTTTTAAAATTACAATTTTTTTAAAAAATTGATGAATTTCGGATACATCACTCAACGTCCCAATATATTGCATCTTGATTAAGGATATATCACTCAACATCGCGTTCCAATTTCGGATACATTATGTCCCGATACATCACTCAACATTGTGTTCTAATTTTGGATACACCACTCAACGTTGGATTCATTATGTCTTGATACATCACTCAATGCTCTGATACACCATGTCTCGATACATTATCTTTGTTGATACAAGACACACCCGTCCCGATACATCGCGTAAGAGTGATGTATTCGAGAATATGAGAGAGTTATGCTTTTTACAATTTTTTAAAGTATAATTTACATAAATTCCGTCGTGTTAAGAGTTAATTACATCATTTCTCTACTCTTTTTCAAATTATAAAAACTCCTTAAATTTTATGAATTTCGGATATATCACTGGACTTTCGGATACACCAGCAGACATCCAGATAACACAAAGGAGGAATGTATCCGAGAGGGGATAGGACATCCGGATACATAGGGGAGAGATGTATCAGAAAGGAAAGAGATGTATCCGAAAAAAGGGATGGGAATGTATTAGCGAGAGCTGAGAGGGGAGTGATGTATCCAAAAAGGAATTTTTGAATTTTTTTTAAATGGTAAGAAATTTTAGAGATTACAGTAAAATAAGATGTGTATTTAGGTAAAAAAAAAATTGAAAAAATGGTAACGAATTTTAAAAAAATATGATGTAATAAGTTGTATAATTAGGTAATTTTTTCTATTATAAAATAAAATATTAACATTTGAATGTGAATGGAATACAAGAGGCTATGTAATTCTTCTTTCTATATGAATATGAATGTGTTCAAAAAGTTTCTTTTAAAATATTTTGTTAAATTTCCACTTCCAATAAAGGAAGTCTTTACAGTTGGCTACTTTTCTAGCTTTATCCTACAACTTCTATTGTTCCATTATTGACTCATATTTTTTACTTGAAACAATTCGAACGATCACAATTCAAAACTTTATATTTTAACTTGAAATTTGAACTACATTTAAATCTTTGCAATTTTGTTTTGATCTTCAATAACATTGTATTATATTTTCACTTGTCAAAACTTTAAATTTTCATGGCTTTTGTGCTCAAATTATTCCGTATTTTATTCAGAGATGTTTTTGCGTTATCTAAACTTATGATTTATTCCTTTCATGGAATATGGTAAGAAATAATGAAAAATTAAAGATATAGCCCTCGTGGCCTACTATCAAACTATAGTATTATCACTAACAACACTTTTTTTTCCTTCTCTTTTTCTATCTTAAGTTGGAGATTACATACATGCACCATGACTCTGATCTGATGGTATTAAATGTCACGTAATATATATTATTGATAGTGTTTTTTTTCCAGCTTTGTTAGAGCTTTGATTTGCACCTATATTTCAACTGAAAATATTAAAAAGATTATAAAGGATTTACTTTTTGATGGAGCAGAGAATTGATTTGCTTTGAAGTAGCCTACAACCTAAAATATTCAAAGATTGGACCACAAGTTGAAAGGATTGTCATAACCTATTTTAATAGTGAAAGTAATGAGATATAGACATATGTGGAAAAAGATGATCGACTTGTTATCGAGCTTATTAAAGAGAAATACATATATAATAGTCATCGTCACGGGGATATTATTGAAGATTATAAATATTTACTGAAAAGCAATAAGATCATTATTATTATGTGTAACTGGAGCCAGGAGCACGACAAAACTAGAGTACTATAGGATGCGGTTGGTTCGATATATGGAACCCGGTGAATTTAGTTAATATATGATATCTGGGCCTAACTCAACCCCAAAAACTAGCTCATCATGAGGGGAGGTTTGTCCAAGTCTATATAAGGAGACCAATTTCCCATCCTCTATCGATGTGAGACTTCTTAACACTCCCCCGTACGCTCATACCTCAATTGGAGCGCGAACACTTATAAATGGGGGCTCAATATCAGTGAACAATAAATTGGGATGGGCCTAGCTCTTATACCATATAAAGATATGACATTTGGGCCTAACTCAACCGAAAAACTAGCCCATGAGGGGAGGTTTGTCCATGTTCATATAAGAAAACCGATTTTTCATCCTCCATCGATGTGGGACTTCTTAACAGTATTTACAACAATAACATATCCAAGTGTAGTTTTTCAAAGTAGAGTATGGGGAGGATAGTGTGTACGCAGACTTTATCTCTATCTCAGAGGTGAGGTAGAAAGGTTGTTTCCAATGAACCTCGACAATTCAGATCTTATATTTGTCTTAAAAAATAATTTAATATATACAAATTATCTTAACTGATAAATTTTAAATCTTGATTCCGCCTCATTAATTTAAAAGGTTTCACAACTTTTCAACTTCATATTTATTGCTTTCACTTCATAGGAAAGAAATGTTGGAGTAGCTTTTAATATGGGTAGCTAACTAGTTTATCTGCAAAAGCAAGAAGGGTACATCTCCTCATAAAAGTAATGTATCACCATCACATTATAGTTTTATTTGCTTCAATAAGTTACACTTATCTATCATCATAAGTAGGTCCAAAAAAAAAAGGTAAATTCAACCACTTGAATTGGGAAAATTTAAAGGGGCACAAATTGCTTTAGTCATTATCATACTTAATTAAGCTATAATGCGGTTAGATTAATTAGGTTAGAAGTAATAAGGATTGAAAGAACTTCTAACCTATTTCTTGAATAATGTTCCTTTTCACAACTCATTTGCCTTAAATTTCAATTCATACAAATGGTACATATATATCTATCTATCTTTGTACAATCACCAACCATGTTCATAAAATAACTGTACCTTGCTAGACAAAAAAAATAATAAAAAATCATCTTTTAGAGGAATGTTTTATTCATTGTTTGTGTATTTGTATATATTTTAAATTTTCAACTTCTTTAATGATATTTTTCTGTTTCGATTGTTTGTCTGATTTATTTAACACATAGTTTTAAGGAAGTAAAAAAAGACTTTTAAATTTTGTATTCTTAAACATCTTATGTGACAAGTTTAGAATCAATTAAGAGTTACCAAAAAAAAGGAAAAAATATTATTTCTAAAGGACTAAAAAAGAATAATACAAACAAATTAAAATGAAAAGAATATCTGCTAAAATTCTGAAACATTTGACAAAAATCCTAACTATGGAATGCGATTTTTAGAAATTGCAAAATACTTGCACAAAAAAATTCCTATTATTGATAAACTAAAGTCTTTTGTGGAAATTCATGTTATTATTCTCTTGTTGTCTTTGTTATTAAATATATATATATCTATAGATGTTGTTATGGGTGGACCATAAAATAGTTAGTTTGTACCTTGCGCGTGGTTGGTGGCTTGGGGTGTACCCATGGCCTAATTTTTTAAAGGCAATTCTACATTAGATATAAGTTATTTATGTTGATTATTTTTATATACAGAAGGGGGCATACTTAAACTATGTTTTGTAGTTGTCCCTACAATGATTAGGAACAAAATGTAAGAAAAAATCTCAGGTCAATTCATATGTTTTTGAATTAGATCATCATAAGATATGAAATAGACATGGTGTCATTTTTATATTAATATTAATAATAAGGAAATAAACTTGGCAAGAGAAGATTTTAGGAAAGACAGAGGAAGGCTTAGAAAGAACTGGAAAGGTGATTAGAGAATACATGACATTTTTTTAGTTTATCGAGGATACAACTCTAAATAGAAAGGTATGAATATTG